TAAGACGCTGAATGCACTAAACAGGTCAACAATCAAAGACACTTCAAGCTCCAAATATCACACGTAGAGGGTAACGCCAGTAAGTATGTCGAAGAGAATGACTTAGTAAGGCTTTGTAACGACGGAGAAAGTCAGCTGACCTTATCGCTTAAAAAAACCCTACTTTGCGATATTTTAGGAACGCACATAATCAAAATGAACTCGGTGCAACAAGATCAAATTATTCATCATGTTATTCTCCTTATATATATTAATGTTCCTTGCAATTTTTCTTTGACAAGTAACTCTCGTTCTCATATTGCGATTGTTATTGTAAGGACGTTAAAGCATAAACCAAACAAACTAATAAGCAAATATTCCTCACACGTGTAATGTTTCCAGTGTATCCGTACTCTGTCCCCAGGCCAGGACATACCAAAGTTCTTAATAATAATTGTAGTTGTTATTCACTGTTTAACGTTCAGCATTTTGGGAAATGACAACAACTGGTCCACCCGTTGTCAGTATAATGTGACCGGACGGAATGCTGTGCTGGATGCCTTCGGCATGGTATTTCAGTGAGATAGCACTATAAAGTCGGCATCAGATCCGTGCTAGCACAAGGAGGCAAATACACCAGCATACCCTTGCCTCCGGCACACATACACAACACACATGGAGGCACATTTTCAAATGACCTAGCTGTTATAATAGGAGGTTAAACAGAATATATAACCAAATCTCCACTGCCAGTATTAGGCAGCTATGGCCTGCCGAGATATTATCTCAAGCATTGTCTGTTTAATCGGCCCTCGTCTATTCCAGATAACTATCACTGTAAACAAAATGAGGACAAAATGCTCAAATTAATCTGATAAAAGTTTTGTCATTTAATGTATTACAGATTTATCAATAAACAACAAGAGAATACTGACGTGTCAACAAAACCATAATTTAAACTCAAAATTGATAAAACTAGATTAAATTTGAACAAAGGAAAAATCTACATTGAGACCTTTCAATAAGTACAAGGAAAATAAGACCAGGTGTTTCGGAAGGGTAAGTGTTGTCAGCTTCATCAATAACACCCATAATGTAAATCTAAGTCAAATTCAAGTAATGTCGCGTTCTCACATTGAGAACTTGGGTAGTAATGTATCAAAATAATATTCTCTCAGTCGCGATGAAAATGAGTTGGATATTATCTAACTGAATATTTTCCCAGTTCGACCAAAAGCATTCATTTTTGAAGACAATAATTAAACAAATTTCTAACCAAGATAAGGAAAATCTTTTATTACATTATACAGCCAACATTACAACAGTGATGTGCAGTATTCTTATTAAAAGAGACATCTAAAAATAAAATCTTCAAAGAACTATATCAGTCAAAATGGAAAATCCCCTAAAAGTCGCTGTACCAGGTCCTGGACGATGCTCAAACCCAGATTCTGAGCTCAAGCCCAATTTCTTGTTCCAGTGATAGATTAATAAAACAAAATAGATGCAATGGCACTTTTTACATTTAAATCAATTTCAAATATCATAACATCATTTACAACAAAGTATTGATCATTGATCAGCGAGACTAATTAATCTAAATCTGATGATTGAGTCCTATAATGGTTTCTCCTTTTGAAGCACAAACACCGGATATTACATTCCTAGAACCATTCTCGTGCCCAAACTCAAGTCTCTCCAATGAGAGGACAAAACATTGTAAAGGGGATGATCCCAGGGGCATCCTCCGTAAACACTTGCCGAGGAAGTAAAATATTTGGGAAAACAAAAAAACAAAAAAAAGTCTTGTTGTTTGCTCATATCAACATTTGGTACTCAAAGATGTATTGCACCACATTCAAATCATAAACACTAAACATGAGAACGGTGACAAAAAACTCAGATCACAGTTAACTTTTTTGAGTATTTTCTCATTTGAACAAGGACTTGAGCTTGAGAACATGAGAATATAATCTTGAATATGTGATATAGGGTCCAGAAGTCAATAATTACTAATGATTGCTACATACAATTTAATTTATGCCTCTTAATCTCATTTTTTGCGATATAAACAGCTTTCCTGTAAGTCATGAAGAAAAGACGTGTTTTGAACAGTTATCAAAATAAAAAAAAATCATATACATGTACATGTATATTCATCAAACATATGAAACATATAGACACTCACTTTTTGTTCTTCAGCAGGTGTAAAAATAGGTGGCAAAACTCTAAGATACAACGCTAAAATCTAAAAAGCATTGAATAAAAAGAATTTGACCTTAGTACAAGATGCAGACTAAAGTTTGAAAAAGCCACCTGGACAGAGATTTAGTATTACATCAAAACGATATACCTCTATGTAGTACACCAAAAATTGATTTTAAAAAAGTCAACTTTACAAAGATTGCACAACATGAGAAAGGTTAAAAAATATCGTATGACTTTAAGTCAAGAGTATTGCTATTTCCATAATGCTGAAAAATGAACCTCAGATAAAACTATAATAAATCACAACGCATGTATGTACATGTAACTATAATTAAACGTATCTCACAAAAGTCTAAAATCATCTATATCTAAAAACAATCTCTTTCTATAAAAAATAACATAATTATCAGTACGTTTTTCATTCAATTATTCTTATATTATTACATAAAACACACTGTGTAACTAATGTTTCTGTGCTTTCCATTTATATTGAACTTAATTAGCAAAACACACTCAACAAATTTATATTATACATGCAGAGGAAAATATTCCTTGGGTCAACCAATCATCATATCATCCTCAATTTACGTTTTGGTAATCAAATTACTGTTAAAACTTGTAACACTTTCTGGTATAACAAACATTCTATAAAAAAAAATGATGTTGTTGAGATAATGCCATGTCAGGGGACAAAGATATTGGCTAGACTAGATTTAAATTGACTGCAGCAATGCACTACTCCATCCTAGGGAACAGAGACAATGAATTAGCTCCATGTCGGGGATACAAACAGTGGGATGTGTGTTGTATCTCTCCCTTTTCCTTCTGTGTGTATGTGTGTGTTTTGATAAACATTAGTTTTGGGCAGTCCCTCAAACCTCATTTAAAGTGTATATAGGGTCAAACATATTGAAATACATGTATTACCTTTCTCTAAAATATAAATACAGTTTGTACAACAATTATACATAAGAACCTGGTGTAATTGGCTGGTAAAATTAATTCTCCCTAGCCAAGTCGATAGGTAGCGGCTAGTATTTTACCAGGGTGACATATCCCCCCTCCAGGAAAGAGATCGTACCAAGTTTTCCAAGGGTATTGTGCTTCTTGTTAAAGTATATCTGAGTATATTGTCATTATTTTCCTGAGACAAGGTTTCATGGATTGTATCACGATTACAGACAATTGCAAGCTAGTAGAAGTAATAAAATCAGGTGTTTTGTGTGTGTTATTGTAGCCACCGTATCAGGGAGGTTTAATGTAGCTATCAGGGAGGTTCAATGCAGTTATCAGGGAGGTTTAACTGTAGCTATTAGGGAGGTTTAACTGTAGCTATTAGGGAGGTTTAACTGTAGCTTTCAGGGACGTTCAACTGTAGCTTTCAGAGACGTTTAACTGTAGCTTTCAGGGAAGTTCAACGAAGCAATCAAGAAGGTTTAATGAAGCAATCAAGAAGGTTTAATGAAGCTATCAGGGAGGTTTAACGTAGTTATCAGGGAGGTTTAACTGTAGCTATTAGGGAGGTTTAACTGTAGCTTTCAGGGAAGTTCAACGAAGCAATCAAGAAGGGTTAATGAAGCAATCAAGAAGGTTTAATGAAGCAATCAAGAAGGTTTAATGAAGCTATCAGGGAGGATTAACGTAGTTATCAGGGAGGTTTAACTGTAGCTATTAGGGTGGTTTAACTGTAGCTATTAGGGAGGTCTAACTGTAGCTTTCAGGGACGTTTAACTGTAACTTTCAGGGAGGTTTAATGTAGCTATCAGGGAGGTTTAATGTAGCTATCAGGGAGGTTTAATGAAACTCAATGAAATCAAACATATGTAAATTTAATTAACACAACTACCTGATTATACAAACTTCTAGGTCATGTTTGCATTGCCCTTTGTATATCACAGACATTTTGAACTTCTTTAATTGGTAGAAAAGGTTTTATACACATGTAACATATATTTGCAGGATGGTATGATTAACATTAGGTCTTTACATAACCTCATTCGCTTACTGTTTAAATATACAAATATTAATATAACAAATATTAAAACAAATTTTAAACTAAAAATTTAAACTTAAAAACACAAAACTTTGGAACATACACATTTCTCCTGTCCCAGTGTATACCATTAAAGATAGGTAAAGTTTTGAAAATATATAATACATTTATTGCAAAAGTGTTCTGTCATGAATATACTAACAAATACTATTTAACACAGTTGATATTCATAGACTTTAAAATCAAAAGCTACAAATCGATTCTTCAATGAACAATTTTGAAAAGAAAATTGTTTTCAACAATGAAAAGGTATGGCTACCATATATATGTTGCTATTATATAGCTACTCAAGCGGTAACATAAAAACGGCATCATTAATTTGATCAATATATTTAAGAGTCTGAACATGTTACATAAAATCGCAATTCTTTGTCGTATACCAGTTATGGTATTTGAAAAAAAATGTTTATAACACAATTATTGAAGGCAAATCTGACCTGTAGGAGCTAAAATGGTGTCCACTTTGAAATGACTCAACCCTTTCACCACTGTAGACCATAATGGACTCGATCATCCAGATCAATTAATGGTAGAGTCTACTAAAGTTACATAGTGTTGAAAGGGTTAAGATCATAATGAAATATTGTAACTGTGTCACAAAACAGTTATAGCTCTGCTTCAGTTTTCAAGATTGTCCGTTTGTAAAAAAATAAAGTCGATCAAGTAAAGATTAAATACAATATTAGGGCTGCAATAATATATTTACATGACAATATGATACATATCGCGATACTGTGGTCATGATACGATAAGTATCACGATACTGTGGTCATGATACGATAAGTATCACGATACTGTGGTCACAATACGATAAGTATCACAATACATATAGTTACAGTTGAAGCAAAGACAGAAGATATGTTGCAAATTTTTAACGGCAATATCACAACTGGAGTTGATCGAAAATGGGCATGACTTTAAAGTTTCACAAAATTCACGTCTTTCGACGTGCATGCCGCGCTGGAGCTGTCACTCACCATGCATGTTGGAACCGATATGAGTAGACTAAATTCAGAAACGACAAAATCCTGGACATAAATATTGTATGTGTATCGTAATCTTCGAAAAAATATTGTGTATTGTACCATATTCAAAATATCATGACATATTTTTTCACGATATATCGTTGCAGCCCTACAAAAAATTCAACACATTTCCTCACTTTCAATCCAAAAGATAATAAAAAAAACTATGATGGTGTATATTGAACTTCGTTGCACTGTTGACAGTATATATTTTGTTTACACTCAATTTCCCGAACAAACCTTCTTTATATTTATTTTAGTATGAGTTTTAATTCAGATTTCACATGTGATCCCGAATTCGTTGCCAATGTTCAACACAAACTTACATAAAAATTTACCACACCAAATATATTTTACATGTATCTACGAAAACTTATATAATAATGGACGATAAAAAGATGATTATAAAACTCTAATAACTCAATGGTTTTATCACAGTAAAATCAATATCACTTACACCAAACTGTTGATCAGAACGATACATGATATCCTTGCTTATGGAATCACTGGACTTACTATGTCATGCTTAATTTTTCCTTTGATATATATTTCTGTATCAACCATTTTACTAAAACATATTTCTAAATCAGTGTCCTCATAAAAAGCCAGTTGACGGCAAAAGTAATTATATCTATAATAAGGCTTCTATTCATCCAAATCTGAACTGGCTATATATTGTTTAAAATACATATTTATACAAATTTAGGTTAATTAACATTATAAGGTGTGACCATTCCACTGGCTGTTCTGTCGAATGAGCCACACATTTTAAAATTTAATGAGAACACAGTGCTTCATCCCAAAAGGTATATAACTACCTGGTATTTCCAAAACATTTCATAAGGAATATCATAAATTAAGATGTGAAATCAGATATGATGTAGCTACATGTTGTTTAATTTAATACAAATATTTACACAACCTTCAATTTCCTTCACCACTGCTGAGCATGCCATTTGACTTACATTACAACAATATCAATTGACCTTGGGTGACCTTTTTTCTAATCTTATTTAACGTTCAGAGTAAGAGCCAGGATCTAGCCCTTTCACCACTTTAGACCATAATGGACTCATCCAGATCAATGTATGGCAGGGTCTACTAAAGTTACAAAGGAGTGAAAGGGTTAAAAAACCATGTCCCTGCAGGATCATGAAAAAAAACCTTACAGAGTCAAGTTCAGATTTTAAATGTTGATGTATCTGTCTAAGTGCATCTCAACATTTATATATACAAGTGCTGTAGAAGGAATGCTTCTGTAGAAAATGACATATTTTAAAACAAATATTTTATAACAGTAACAATATTTTGACAAAAGAATATTTTAATTCAATGACTCCCTTTATCATGAGGTCACATCAACCCTGTTTACCCCCTTTTACATTAAAATTTGAAAAAAAAATGAATTTAATATTTTTTTCTTTTTACAAATTTGTCTTATATATTCCATTATGAAATTAAAGCAATCACTGTCTAGGGATGTATATACCCCACATTTGAAACATTCAACAAATACGGCATTACCTTAAGGCTAACTTGTTTTTTTGAACCCTGGAGTCCTGACCTCAGTATATATTTTATACGGACACATCTGTATCTGATCTTACAAAGTATCTGTCCCTGATTTCAAGCTTTGGACCGTTTGGCTCTGATAACCAGTAGAATGAAGGACAACAGCCGGAATCCCACAAAAAGTGCAGCCATCACCATGAGGTCCAGAAACTGGTTGTCCTGTAACCATGGAAATACATATCATATTGATATATAGTCACATTAACAATGACCTTTTCATATGCATCAGCCAGCGTCTCAGATTTCAAATGGTATAAGGGGGACAAACAGCAGACCTATTAATATGTTTATTACAGACGTTGTTTGTAACAGTAACACAGATTTTATTTCTAAGTTATCCAAAAAATGCTTTTGAAATATAAAAAATCATGACTTACCTCCTTGAAGTTGAAACCCTCTAGGATAGCTGCCCCTGTTTCACACACAGGCGAGCCTTCTGGTGCCGGATATTCTGTTACATTAGTACAGTCTGTAATGACAGAAAACCTGGAATCATTGACGATACCACAGAAAACCTGGAATCATTCATATATAACCACAGAAAACCTGGAATCATTGATAATACCACAGAAAATCTGGAATCATTGATGATACCACAGAAAACCTGGAATCATTCATATATAACCACAGAAAACCTGGAATCATTGATAATACCACAGAAAACCTGGAATCATTGATGATACCACAGAAAACCTGGAATCTTTAACGATACCACAGAAAACCTGGAATCATTGATGATACTACAAAAAACCTGGAATCATTGATGATACCACAAAACAAGGTTACCGCGGGCGGTATATAATACGCCCGCCACACATT